CACATGGGCAAAATGTGTGAAGCCCATTTCTGGTGTCCCCCGCCGTGATATTGCTGGAATATTGCTACAAGCGGCGTAAAATCAAACTCACTCACTCATTAAGACGCTAGAACTATGCTTGAATACTCGACACTTAGTGTGGACTCTCTACCGTTGACGGGTAATTTGTGTCAAACTGGGGATGAATAGTCGGTTCCACATCATAATAGTTTCCCTTCTGTCAAATCTTTACTGAAATGCGAAAGCACTAAATGAAGCAAGTCCAGACTTTTCAATGTTAGCAACTGGGGCTTGTCGTAAGATGCGACTAACGGGATCGGGTGGTCAGGCTCGCTGACCTGGTTGACACGTCATCGTATCCCAATTGCGTAGATCGATGCTGATGCTGTTAATCACTGGATTGTCTGGTCCAGACTCGATTATTAACAGACCGCCGACTTATAGCTGGAATACTTCAGCGTTATGAAACCAACCAACCAACCAACCAACCAACCAACCAACCAAACCTTTCCAATTAATTTTGTTTGTTTCTATCAAAGTTATATATTTTTAGAAACTAATCTTTAATCCAGGAGATGAACCCAACATTCCATACCAATGCCCTACTAACAGATTATTAAACTTACAAAAAAACAGCCGGCACTGATGTGACAATATCTTCAACAAGACACTTAGAAACACCTTACACATCCAAAGTTAAGGTCCTACTGCACTTGCCTAGCCAGCATTGTCACTCTCCCAGACAGTAGAAAGGTTGTCCAAGTCCAGAATGATTGGGCACGTCCTGCTTGCATACTGAAATAACGAATTGTTCTCTTATGCATTTGGATTGATTAAATGAATGATTTATTGTAAACATAGAATTTTAGAGAAGATAACTTTATTTCCGCGACCAAATGTTAGACTACTTCAACCCAAACCGTAACAGACGTGGGTATGAGATCTCATGATCTCTTGCAACTGAGGAGATTTTGTTGATTTTTAAGTTTTGAGAGACTACACGCTCAGTGGCCAAGGGAAATAAAAAAAACCCACCAAGACCTGTGCATGAAATCTGCTCTTCCAGAACATTCCATTTAGTCTGGCCTACAGATCAGTGATTCCCCATACCAACATTAGTTACTGGGAAAAGAAACTTGAGGAAACAACCGACACACACACGCACCCCCCAACCCCTTTCCTACCCAGCCCTCCACGGTTCAACGGTGCTTTGATCGTGTAACCATCGGTAGATAGAGATCTTCATTGTGATATCGTCAGTGTTATTACCATAGTCAGCTGGTTGTTATTTCACCCAACCCAATCACAACACCATCACCGTCCTAATGGGCTTCTTTCCTGTAGGCCTAATCTTATTGGCTATGTTATATATCGTTGTGTTTGTACATTGCTCCTGTCTTGTGGACACTGATCAGCGTGTGCGTGCGTGCGTGCGTGCGTGCGTGTGCGCGTGTGTGTGTTATGTGTGCGTACCTGTGCCTGTGCACAGTCTGTAGTTGTGTCCTGTGCGTGTGCGTAAAACATGCGTGTGGTATGATGGTTTGTGGAATGGCGAATTACAGGGACGCGCGTGTGGTGTTAGTCTGTCTCACAGTCCCCCTGAACCACATTATTTTCCCTACTGCCAAGCCCTCTCTGCAGTGCTAAAGCCCTAAAAAAGCAAGTCTAGATTTCCTCAGGTTCTGAATCTCTGGTCTCCCTGGGGCTCCTTTTCAATTTAAATGGGCTTGTTTGTTACTATCAAAATTATATATATTCAGAGACTAAGCATTAGTCTAGTGAGGTGTGTGTACGAGTCTATTGTGTGAGTGGTGTAGTGTGTGTACGTGTGTGCGCGCGCGCGTGTCTGTGTGTCACTTACTCATGCAGTATTCACCTGATGAAGGGGCAAGGAATAACTCTGAAATGTCGCTATAAATAACAACGAAGCTGTTATCCATATGAAAAAGTTATGTGGTCAGGTCCGAGAAATAATTTGTATGATTTAACCAAACACGTTGTGCCATAGTTAACGCTTGTTCGGCTCTCACAGGTTAATGGTGACATTACTTAGTTTCCTCTCACCTTTTTTTTGTGCGTCATTTCAATCACCATGCAATGATCAAGTCAGAAAGGAAACGTTCATCGTTGTGTAATACCAATTAAGAAGAGATCAGTCAATATTCATATTTGATGATATCGCCCTACCCAAACACATTGAGGCATTAATTCACCCAGCAGAAAATGGGTTGGATAAAGTCATGTGAATATAACCTTCTAGCGCCTAACAGGCAGCTTGGGTTATCCGGGGTAATAAGAATCAGATTCTGATTAAGCGCCGCGAGCAATCACTTGGTGTTTGGAGACTGTGCGCTATAGAAGATGATTTATTATTAAATATGCTTGATTACATGAATATTGTGTCATTTTGCTTTGATAATATGCACTTTCAATAAGTTGTCATTTGAAACAATTCTACTACTGTTTAATGAGAATAGTGGACATTTATTAAGCGTCTGTTAATCCAAGCTGCTACAGGGCTAATAGTCACATGACTTATCCAACCGGGTACCCATTCACTGCTGGGTGAGGCAGTTTTGAACAAATTCACTTACGTAAGGTGATACCACATGTGTCACGTGTGCTTCGTTGTGGGGCAGGAGTAAATTCGAAGTCAAGCTGCCAAACACGGTCACCCACCAAAGGACACTCCGTGACCAACGTTGCTTAACTTCAACTGATTTGTGGCTCTATGCACATGAGGGGCGGTGGGGTAACCTAGTGGTTAAAGCGTTGGCTCGTCACGCCGAAGGCCCGGGTTCGAATCCCCACTTGGGTACAATGTGTGAAGCCCATTTCTGGTGTCCCCCCGCGGTGATGTTGCTGGAATATTGCTAAAAGCGGCGTAAAACCAAACTCAGTCAGTCAGTCTATGCACATGCAAGACCACACACCACAACAGGATGCACACATATCTTGGCATCAAAACGCGTTGAAAAGATCCGACAAGGATTACCCACATTTTACGCATACAGTTATTATACATCCTCAAGGAAGGGTGAGTGAGTTTAGTATTACGACGCACTCAGCAATATTCCAGCTATATGGCGGCGGTCTGTAAATAATCAAGTCTGGACCAGACAATCCAGCGATCAACAGCATGAGCTTCGATCTACACAACTGGGAACCGATGACATGTGTCAACCAAGTCAGCGAGCCTGACCACCCGATCCCGTTATAGTTGCCTCTTACGCCAAGCATGACTTATTGAAGATCAATTGTAATAGCCCGGATCTTCACGGGTCCCTCAAGGAAGACTGACTGACTGACTGAGTTTGGTTTTACGCCGCTTTTAGCAATATTCCAGCAACATCACGGCGGGGGGACACCAGAAATGGGCTTCACACATTGTGCCCATGTGGGGATTCGAACCCGGGTCTTTGGCGTGACGAGCCAACGCTTTAACCACTAGGCTACCCCACCGCCCCCCTCAAGGAAGAGGGAACGCTACTGCCAATATGAGGACAAAGGTCAGATTAGATGCTTATTTTTTAAATTCATTATCTTAATGATGAGCAGTGTTTGAAATAAGGCCCGTCCGACCGCCCGAGACGGTCTAGATTTCTGACGGACGGTCTAAATTTACCGCTAGCCAGCCCGATGGTCTGGTAAAATTTTTAGATGTTCCATACATCTGAGTAAATTCACCATATTTGGTCTGGTTAAATCCATTCAGGGCTGGTAACATTTTGAAGTTACCAGTCCTGATGTCTGGCTGGATTTTTGGCTTATTTCATACACTGTGATGAGGCTAAGGTAATGAAATAACAGTCTTGATTTCACGGTCTTGAATCACCACTCGATACATTGCCTGGGACCCAGGATTCAGCGGTTGTAGTATATGCAAATATTCAGTTTGGAGAATTTCGTAAACCGCAACTTGTCAGATGTAAATTTACAATTTTGGAACATAATTACATTGTTGAGTAGGCTATGTTTGTGACTTATTGGAGACAATGCAGGTAAATGAGATCTAGACAAATAATTTGAATCAACACGTGGTATTAAATAGTTATGATGAAGTACAACGACGTCACAAATTCGGCACTAAGGGTAATATCCATAATTTAAGAGCACACGTAGTTCCCTCGGATATTATTAAAAGTGCCGGATTACAGGTTTGTACATATTACCATAGACTAACAACTAGTCTCTGAAATGAACATATTTTACAGAAAAAAACAGTTCATGTGACTAAAAAAAATATCTGAATATATAAAGATTGAAGTTAGCATACTCACAAATCAGATTCAATGGGTAAATTAAATCTAGAAGCAGTGTTTGCACTCAAATTTAATTAATATATACATATTTAATTGTAATATTTATATTTCTCCTTTTTTAAGCTTCAGCAGGAAATTGTATAGTGTGCTTTCGTTCGTTTATCTGAGAGATACTCAGTGGGTCCTATTAATATGTTTTTGACCTTTCAGCTAGTTTTTAACAGTGTTTAAGTCGTGCTTGTGAAATCACGTGGAATACAAGCCGTCCTAAATTTGGTTTCATCGATAGAAATCCTTTTGGTGACTGAAATGTACTGAATAGCATTAAGACACGTAAGCAACATTGATTCCTCTGGTATTTTGTTCCCGTATGAAATATGACACAAAGTTGTTTTTTAACTTTGGCACGGGTTACATAACATTCGTCTAAGGTCCTTTGTTCTAATAAAAACTAGTCGGAGGAAAATACTACACATAGAGTATGTACACAAACTAAAATGGTCGTTTCAAAACTGTGTCAAACGCATGATCGCTCATACATATACATATCTAGCAGTTGTTAAACAAATCACGTGTTGAACTACTCGCATTAGAGCAAATACTGTTCGAAAAATGAAAATTATGTCGACGTATGATCGCGAACAGTTGAACAAGCCTCTGACACACCGATATGTATCGAGTTGTGAGTGAACTTGACCTAGACTCGTGCCTAGTGGTAAGGTCAAGGTCAGACCAGCTGTTTGTCACGAGAGGTTATGATCGGGGGTTTTCAGTGGTAACTGTCATTCGGCGAAGGGAGCTGATATGTAATATTCGTCCTTTTGTGCGGAATATGTAAAATATGATGGACCATTGTTACAATGTTTTCTTCATCGGACCTGGTTCGTAGAAATAGACAGGTAAGAAAGGGCACCTGTTGCCTTTGATGTCGTATATATGTCGTCACCAATTCTTTTCATTCTATTCGTACTTGCATAAGCGCCAAGACAGACCAGGTGAAATCATGGCATGGCGATGTAGTTATGGATTATTATGCTGGAACGTCCCACCCTACGTGTGAACTGAAGTTCTTTACTCGATCTCACACGATACAAATGTTTTAAGTTAAAATTAGAACTAATTACAGTGCAGAGACACATGCACTTACACTGACGTAATCAGCTGTTTAGGTAGGTGAATGGGTCAATAGGACCCGGCTGTCAAATCTTAATTCCTCAATGTTAAAAAAAAGAGCGTTGGATTTTAATGTATGTATGTTTGTATGTATCTGTGTATATGTGTAGATATGTAGACTAAGTTAGGTACATATGTTCCTGCATGTAAGTAGGTAAGTATGTAGGTATGTATAGATATATATACAGAAATGTATGGATGGATGAAGCATGCATGTATGTATCATGTATGTCTTGAGACAATTGATTAAATTGATTACTCCATTAAATTTATTACCATTTTCACAATCTTTCATGACTTCCTATCTGTCATTTATAATGTAGCCAACAATTAAGCTAATGGAAAGGCGTGAGGTATGACCATTTCAGTAACCATGGGCTTCTGAAATCTATCTATACATACTTTAACATATAAAGAGATTGATTGATATTATTCATTGCTTCATGCACATATTTGATGCCGTGGTTTACATGATACATAATCATTGAATGGAATATATCATGTATAATATGTTTGTGGGAATGGGATATGGGCAAGAAACTTTTACGAAGACTGATATTTATGTGGGCAGTTGTAAGGTCACATTGTATGGGAATGAGAAACATAAAGATGTTGTCAATTGTCAGATATTATTTGTGTGCTGCAGGATTCGACGTTAACTAACATTTGTTACTGCTTGACCAGTGCAGAGCTCCAGATAAGATTTAGCTCATGTGGGTACTGTACCCACTGTATTTTTTTGGAGTTGGTATTATGAATGTTGAGTGGGTATTTCATTTTCTGTTACCCACTGCTTTCAAATATGTTTGTATTTCAGTCATTTTACTCACCTAAGTATTATGTGACTGAGTAAGTTTACTAAGCAGGTATGTTCTGCCTTATGTCATACCTAATCAAAACCAACTTAAATATCATGGAAATGATTTCATAAAAAATCACTCATCTTATACTGACAGTACAACACTTGTCCTATACTAACAGTACAACTTGATAGCAATCGATGTCTTTTTCATTACGAAAGCGATTTTTATAAATATATTCCGTACGCATTTGTTTTAAACTTTTTGCGTATCTAACATTTTAAATGCTTAATTGGAACGCATCAATTATTTTTCAATGCGTAATTGAAAATTTTATATGCGTATTTTACCCGGATACGCAGCTTATCTGGGCCCCTGCCAGTGGACATAGTGTGTCTTAAAATTTACTAGATCTGACCTAATGTCAATTAGACCATACTGTTGGAAGACAAAACAAGGTTATTTTTATAATGCATACTAAAAGAACTAACTATATTAAACACAAAACTATGTGATAATGTTTGTTTCTTTTGTCCATTATGAATACTGTATACCTTAATTTTTTATTTTTCTGAAGAACGTTTATCATTAAAGAAGAAGAAGAAGTTTATTCAGTATTTGAGGCCACATGGCCAAGAGTACAAACATATAAGAACAATATTGTGCGGATGGACAGACAAAAACAATGTAATTAGTTCATTTTCATACAGGCAAGTTACGCTTTAGAAATAATGCTATTGACTTCAATGGATGTGCATTTGTTGTTGTTAAAAGTTGTTTAAATTTTAATCTTGATGGAAACGTATGGTAATAACTAGGTAAGTACAGTTTTCTTTGTGCAGAATAGAATGGACACACAAGTAAAAAATGAAATTCATCCTGTGTAACATTAAAATCACATTTGTCACATATCAGTACATTGGAATTTATATTATTATTATAACGTTGTTGTTGAACATTTAACTTATGGCTTAAAGAGTAGCTTTTATGGTCTTTTTACACTTAAGTAAGCTCAATCACAGCCTCTGTAATGCACATTATAATAGATGATGCCGTGCAAGATATTTAAAACAAAACTGAACAAATACGGTGATTTGAAACAGTGTTCATTAAATATCTTCACAACCATCTGGGCTAGTCAGACCGGACCGGCTAATTACTAGACAATGTCTTTCGGATGTGCCTTAGTGTTGAACCCTGGGGTGACAATGGACACAGGTGAATGAGATGAGACAGACACTAGTAATTTACTGTTGTTTACCACAGTGTCACTTTTGTCCTTTTGTATGTTTATAGGTATTATTCATGTTTGTATATATACCACCAAAATATAAGAGAAAACATTTGAATGTAGCTATTGTTGAGGTGTTAATTTTCATTCAGTCATGTATCTCAGCTCATTTAATCACACTGACATTTTACATCATGCATGACTGACTGACTGACTGAGTTTGGTTTTACGCCGCTTTAAGCTATATTCCAGCAACATCACGGCGGTGATCACCAGAAATGGGCTTCACACATTGTACCCATGTGGGGATTCAAACCCAGGTCTTCGTGACGAGCCAACGCTTTAACCACTAGGCTACCCCACCGCCCCTTACATCATGCATGAACAGCACATGATGCACTTGCATGCATGAACCAAAATGTGTGTATCTATAGGTGACCTCACATTCACTAATGCATATGAGATGAACACATGCTTAAGATTCCTTAGTGAGAGTTTTTCAATGAACTGATGAAATTATGGATTTGTTTCATGGGGACAAGATCATCTCATTACATTTATTTCACTATGCAGTAGGTTCAAATATGTTCCTGAAATACACAATGCCATTTAGAAAGTGGTCAAATGTAACATATGTTATATTTGGGATTACACTTTCTTAGTAAAGTACAGATTCTAGTACTTTTTGGGGGTTGAGTCCCATCCGGGATTCGAACCCACACCCTCAGAGTCAGGCACCTAATCGCCAGCACACAAAGTCAGACGCCTAGACCACTCAGCCACCGCTGCTTCCACATATGTTCCTGTTGATAATTATAATGTCATCGCAGTCGCGCACATGCCCCAGAGTTATTTCCCTTACTATAGGTGTCCGCCATAACAGGGTTACCCATGTTGGCATACAGTCGGTAACAAGTCCTTTGAATGCCAGTAATAAATCATGGAGCAAACTCGAATACCTGTTGTTGGTAACAGCATTATTTTGTTATCATTAGAGAAAGTCTGTTCACTGATAGGATGGTGAATCTCGTAGGCCTATGTATTGTCAACAGCAAGGATTGGGTGAGCTGGGCATTGCCAGAAACGGCTGTTCAAGAACACTGTTATTAGATGTAAATCTAGGTTTTGCCTACGATTACAGTTGATGGTGGTAGTTGGTTTGTGAGCACAACAATTCTTGAACCTGATTGGTAGTGTGTGTGACGTTACAACACATGACAAGCAAGCTAATTTGGTAATTGTGAATGGACATCTGTACTGAATACGTTAATGAAATTAGATTTGCTTGTATTAATGGCAGAAATTTTGAACTGGAAGCTGCCAGACCACCATGCACAGGTCAAAACCGGTTATATGTGAATGCATATGGACATTGGACTGGCTAGCTATGTCCACTGGGAATCTAACCCTTGCCCACTTTGTCAAGGATGTGATGAGGTCTGTGGTGGGAATCTATCGTCCACTTTGTCAAGGATGTATTGAGGTCTGTGATGAGGTCTGTGGTGAGAATCTATCTATCACCCACTTTGTCAAGGATGTGATGAGGTCTGTGGTGAGGAGGATCTGATGAGGCTATCTATCTATCCACCTTGTCAAGGATGTGATGAGGTCTGTGGTGGGAATCTATCTATAGCCCACTTTGTCAACGATGTGATGAGATCTGCAGTGGGAATCTATCTTTCGCCCACTTTGTCAAGGATGTGATGAGGTCTGTGGTGGGAATCTATCGTCCACTTTGTCAAGGATGTGATGAGGTCTGTGGTGGGAATCTATCTATCACCCACTTTGTCAAGGATGTGATGAGATCTGCAGTGGGAATCTATCTATCGCCCACTTTGTCAAGGATGTGATGAGGTCTTTGGTGGGAATCTATCTATCGTCCACTTTGTCAAGGATGTGATGAGGTCTGTGGTGGGAATCTATCTATCGTCCACTTTGTCAAGGACGTGTTGATTTCTTCAGTGGGAATATTGGAAGCCTAATCTCCATCACTGCCATATGAGTCAGATAGTGGGTCAGTTTCCATGTTCAGGTTGATTACTCATCATTGAATTTGATGCACAAGAAAATATTGGACATTGGTACATTTTGTCTGTCAATAACTATGACATTAACTTAAACACAATAGAAATATTAATGCAGCTCTTAATAAATTTTTTGCCAATCAGTAATTCATTTATCCAATTAGTATTTCATTTAACCAGTCAACATTTTAATTAACCAGTTATTTCATTTAACCAGTCAGTATTTCATTTACAAATTTAATATTTCATTTAACCAGTCAGCGTTTTAATTATCCAGTCAGTATATCATTTAAATATTCAGTATTTCATTTAACCAGTCAGCATTTCAATCAACCAGTCAGTATTTCATTTAACCAGTCAATATTTCATTAATACAGTTAGTACATAATTTAACCAGTTGGCATTTCATTTAACCTTCCTGTATTTCATTTAACCAGCTGGTATTTTATTTTCTCAACTCTTGGAGAAGACTGACGAACCTTTCTGCCGGCAGCTTCATCTTTCCCTGACACCAGGCCATTACTATCTTTATGAGTTTTTGAAATCACCAACCTATCAAAATGACTCTTTGAAACATGAGAGTGGCACAGATCAAATTTCAAACATTTCGGAGTATGTTTTTGTGCAATCATTCACTTGGTGAAGGAGTAAGAATATTCTCTGAAATGTCA